CCGCTCTCGCTGCTAGCAACTCGCTGACTTCGACTCAAACATTGGATTACCACAACTACAATAAAGGATTACAGTGTTTGTGTTTAAAAATAAATAAATTAACTTGTGCTATGTGACACTTATTAAAACTGACTTCAACATAAAGTTACCAATTTAGTTATCAGTGGCCATCGGCTGTGAATTACTAGTTATTAGTGTAAAACAAATATGGTCTCAGACATGGGAGAAGATTTACCAATACTTAAGGGGATCCTCAACGGAGTTGTGAAATATCACAATGCTCGTATGTATTATTTATGTTTATTTCATCTTATCACGTATTAATTACATGTATTCTATGTTGATGTGTTTTATTAAATTAAACAATTTATATTTAATTCTCTTATAACAGCAAAAAAAATTATATCTTACATAAAGTTTAAACATTAATCAAGATTGGATTGTTGCGATATTTTGGATAACTATTTTGAATTAACAATAGTTACTGCAGTTAGTTCAGAGTAACAGATTTTTTTTATTGTTTTATTGCTAATGTGATTTTTTTATTGAAATCAGTTTAATTTTTACACACTTTTATTGAAATTTTTCCTATTCAAATTTGTAATTTTTTTTAATAAGTAATAGTTTTATTATAGTAATAGGTAAATAAATAAAATTATAGGAAACTTAAATTTAGTTAATATTAGTGACCTACTGCCTATTTGTTGTAAATCTAGTGTTCAATATTTTATGATAAAGTATTACAATGTAATCGAGCGAAAATATCAATAAAGCATTGTGAAACAATGTCAACGACACAAAGTGAAACAGTTTCGATCGGGCGATAGCGAACAATAGGTGGAACATCTGGTGCGGCCCACATCGGCCAGGGAAAGTCAGGAGAAATGGCGAGAGGGCGCTCTCCGCTTTCGTTTTCAATCGTGCGTCGGCCGCGAACACTTTCACCGGCGCTTGCGCACCCCGCGCAGTCCCGCGCCGCCCCGCCAAGCGCCGAGCGCGAGAAAGTCGTAACACTTTTTATATGACCTCGCGACTCGCGCTTTGTCACTCTTCATTCGAATTAGTTCACTGAATCGCGACGCTTTCGGCTTTGTGCTGTGTGCTCGACGAACGAGGGGTCGTTGCGACGGCCGATGAACTCTACCCCGCGCGTCAGCTGCGCGTGCCCGAGCACCCGTATACGTTCATGTCGGCCCGCAGCTGCCGTTTCAACTATAGAGCCGCGACCTTGCCCAACAAGCCCTCCCTTAGCCCCGTATACACTTTATAACAAACAAAGATGGTCACAGGGGGTGGAACGAAATGCACTTTTAACGGTTGGCCCATATTGTTTCATAATAATAATATAGTTATAATAATAATTAGACATTTGGACATGTTTTTGAACTTGTGTTTTGTTTTGTCGTAGCCGTGCGATTCGGACGCGTTCCGAAGAGAGAGAAGGCGCGCATCCTGGCCGCCATGCAGCAGTCGTCATCGTCGCGCGCACACGAGCAGGCCGCGGCTGCCGAGCTGGAAGACGCGCCGCGGCTGCTGGCCCGCGTAGTGCGTGCCCACCTCGACACTTGCGAGTTTACACGCGATCGCGTCGCCGCTATGCGTGCGCGCGCTCGCGACTGTCCCACCTACTCACAACCCACTTTGGTGAGTTAACATATACTTTTTTATGTAAATATGTCTACTGACTCTATCATTTAATTAATTTATATCTTCTTGTAAACTGTCATTGACTAACCAAATGTTTTGTTTGTTGCAGGCGTGTCCGCTGAACCCAGCGCCAGAGTTGCAATCTGAGAAAGAGTTTTCTCAGCGGTTCGCCCACGTGATCCGCGGCGTGATCGACTTCGCCAGCCTCATTCCAGGCTTCCAGTTGCTCACGCAAGATGACAAGTTCACGTTGCTAAAAAGTGGTCTCTTTGACGCTCTGTTTGTGCGACTCATTTGTATGTTTGATGCGCCGCTCAATAGCATCATCTGCCTTAATGGACAGTTAATGAAACGGGACTCTATTCAGAGCGGTGCTAACGCGCGGTTTCTCGTTGATTCTACATTTAAGTTCGCGGAACGCATGAACTCTATGAACCTCACGGATGCCGAAATCGGACTCTTCTGCGCCATAGTTCTAATCACCCCCGACAGGCCCGGCCTCCGCAACGTAGACTTGGTAGAGCGTATGCACGCCAGGTTAAAAGCTTGCCTGCAGACCGTCGTCACACAGAACAGGCCCGACAGGCCCGGCTTCCTTCGCGAGCTGATGGACACGTTGCCCGATCTACGCACCTTGAGCACGCTCCACACGGAGAAACTGGTAGTGTTCCGCACCGAGCACAAGGAATTGCTAAGGCAACAGATGTGGGGAGAGGAGGAAGGCTGTTCATGGGCGGACTCTGGACCCGAAGAGTCGGCGCGCAGTCCGATCGGCTCCGTGTCGAGCAGCGAGTCCGGGGAGGTAGGCGGTGAGTGCGGTACACCACTACTGGCCGCCACGCTGGCTGGCCGCCGGCGACTTGACTCGCGCAGCTCCGTCGATGAGGAGGCGCTAGGCGTGGCGCACCTGGCGCACAACGGCCTTACTGTCACGCCCGTGCGACCGCCGCCGCGCTACCGCAAGCTTGACTCCCCTACGGACTCTGGCATCGAATCCGGCAACGAGAAGCACGAGCGAATCGTGGGCCCGGGATCGGGCTGCTCGAGCCCGAGGTCGTCGCTGGAGGAGCACGCGGAGGACCGGAGACCGACGCCCGCCGACGACATGCCCGTGCTAAAACGAGTGCTGCAGGCGCCACCGCTGTACGACGCGCCACTGCTCATGGACGAGGCGTACAAGCCGCACAAGAAGTTCCGTGCGATGCGGCGCGACACGGGTGAGGCGGAGGCGCGACCGGTGCCCTCGCCGCAGCCGCCGCCGCGCGCCTCGCTGTCGGCAACCCACACGGAGCTGGCGCGCAGCCTGCGCGAGTGCCCGCGCATGACGCCGGAGCAGCTGAAGCGCACCGACCTCATCACGCAATACATGCGGCGCGGCGAGGCGTGTGAGCCGTGCGCGCCGGCGCCGCTGGCCCCGCTGGCGCCAGCGCCCGTGCTAGCGCTGCAGGTGGATGTGGCGGACGCGCCGCTAAACCTGTCAAAGAAGTCGCCGACGCCGCCGCGCGCCTACATGCCGCGCATGCTGGAGGCGTGAGGCCGGCCCGCGGAGCCGCAAGTCTCCGCCACCCCCCACCCCGATCTACTATAAATTCAATAAACTATGTAGTTAATGATCGTTCGCAAATCGGTTTAATATAATATGTGATAATTCGGTTAAGACGCGTGCGTGCGTGCGTGCGTGGCCGGTGCGGGACGAGGAGAGCGCAATAGACTGAAACATAATTTAAGACTATATAAGTATAATTTATAATGCAATGCAGCGCCGGTCGCGGTGTGTTTGTGTGTGTATTGTATGTGCGTATGTGAGCGTGCTCAGTCATTTGTTTGTTAATATAATGACAGGTTGTCGAATTAAAATAAAACAAACTTGTAAAAATTTTCTATGACTTTGATTCCATTCCTTTATATAACACATCTTACGCATTTACCTGGGGGTGTGGCTGTGGCGCCCGCCAAGTTCACATCATTACTTGAGAACACAGTTATTTAGAATCAATTTACAGCACCTAAATACGCATAAATTCTTTGCGCATCAAACAAATTACATAAATGGCCCGACATATACACATCGATCCAAACCAAGATGTCTTACATCTCTTAATATAAAAAAAATATTAGTTTAATTAATCGAGGCGATAGTAGTAACTACGATAAAATGTATACGTTAAAGTTACCAGATACTTATAATAAGCTCATCGTCAATAACAAAGCGTTGACATGTCTCTTATTAAGAGAAATCTTGTTAAATCTAAAAAGATTGACATCAGCAACAATTCGAGGGCAAAGCAGAGGTGTGACGACAAAGGACGACATCGGTCGTCGACACTCAACACAGCAGCCGCATTTCCGTGCGCCGCGTCGCTGACCCCGCGCCTCACGCTGCCACTTCCGTGTTCCGGACGTGCCGTCGCACGATCTTTTCCTGACTTCTCAATGCTACAATTAAATTTAAACTTAATAGAATATACAAACTAAATTTTTATAGCGGAAATCTTTTAAAAAATTTAGAACTGAATAAATCAAATCTTTACAAAAATTTACTACATTATTCTTTTAATCTAAGAGTGCATCCACATCTCGCGAGCTGTTCACGGCCTGAGCATTTGCTAGATGTAGATGTAACCTAATAAGACATTCTAAACTATGCAAGTTAATACAAGTTATTATAGAATAGGGAAATAAATAATATATTTTACTTCACTCCATATAACATCCACTGTATAAAACGACGCCAAAATGCTCAGTCGCTCGAGCCCAGGATTTGCAATTTGGACTTACCAAATTGCAAATCCTGGGCTAGTACTAGGTTGAAAATAATTTCAAAACAAATTAACATTTTCACGTTCCACTGTCGCAACTCTATCTCTTGTACACCATACGCTACCTTTTGAGGAGGAAGGCTGTATAAATGCGAAAGTTAGATGGATGGATGTTTGTTAGAAGGCCTCTTTAAGGCTCAACAGATCTCGACAAAATTTGGTACAAAATGAAGAAACTGGAAGAACACAAAAGCTATATTGCCGAAAATGTACACGGTTCTCGTTGGATTCATTTAACTTACATAATTACCTGATAACTTCGCAACGGTTTAAGTTCCTAATTAAAACTGCTTTGGTTATACCTTTGATAGAGACATTCAATCAGGTTCTACATTGTTGTCTTCTTTAATTACTTATATTTCTACATAACTCGATTAGGATCTGCAACGTACACATTAGCTACATTTAGGGATGGGCTGCAACATAACAAAAAAATAAAACATGGGATTTCGGTGGGTACAGGGCGCATCGGTGTATCGTTTGCAAAGGATAGCGGACGGGTGTATTGACCGGCGCGGCGCGGCGGCGCGTCGGCCCTGCACTTGACTCGTGCCGTTGTCGGTGCATCGCCCTGCGCCCGCCTGCACCCCGCGATCCCCGCCCTCATCCCGGACACCCCACACCAACGTACAGCACCCTCCATCCAGATCCTTGCACATGCCATCTGCTCCCTCCTACACAAAATGTCAGGGGTCAAACCCCCGTGACTTTATTGCACGTGATATTTATTAAGTTCCTCTTTAGATAAAGCTAGATGTTGTATGCTTTATCAGCTTTTTGACGAAACGTTAGCTTTCCATTGCCAAAAATTTCCCAAATTCCCATTGTAGTATTTTCAAGAAAACAGGTAAATACGTTTCTGTCTTCAAAAGACCTAATTCAATGTAAAAAAATCTCCTTTGTATACCTACATATTAGAGGACATCGCACAAAGACATGATAACATAATATGTTTATTTTGAATAGACAAAGTATGTATATTTTATTTACCTTATTTGCAACTTAATGTGCATTGTAGGTATGTTTTCTCTGAACGTTTGAATATCACCTCAAGAGCACATTATTTTTATAGCACTGAGATAAATTTTAGTATCTGCTGATAGCATTTAACAGCTAGCCATGTTGCTAGTTGTTTTGTAACGTTTACTTAATTTTTTACACACCTGGAATATACTACAACGTAATTTTTTTTATTTTTTTTAATATAAAATAGTACATTTATTTGAAATTTACTAATGATTCTCTGAACTATTTCAACTTATGTCTAAGCTACTAAGGTTTCCGACAATTGATTAGCGGATTTCGGACCCACAACTACTTTGTCGTATGACCCTATCTTAGTTTTTAGGTTAAGACTATTGGCGCTTTAACGACTAAAGAACGCTTAATTAAGTCACAAAGTAGATTAAGTTACCACTACATCTAAAATTTAATACCAACAAATCAAACTCTGTCTAATTGTAGTGACGTTCAGACAAATTATGTTAATCAATAATTCTACAGGGTTACTTTAGGAAAGAATAAATGGTTTAATTTATTAAGGTTTGTACACGTGTTATGTGTCTGGTAGAGTGATGTTATGTAGACATAGTGTGAGTATACAAGACCTCCAGGCGACGTCGAAAGCCCCGAACTGGCCGCGACCTGCGACCTTGCCGCGCGAGGTCATGCCCGCGCCCGCGCCCGCGCTCCGGTTCAAGCGGAAACAGGATGCCTCATATTTAATAATACACCAATATCATTGAAATGTATGACATTTAATCTAAATAGAATAAAACAAAAGTAATTACTTTAACTAACCTTCATTGCTACGTATTTTTTCACATTTTCTATTAACTCACAAATTGTAAGGTTACGTCATCTACTATGGAGACAATATTTCTCACAAAAACGACACGCAGCAGCTAGGTGATAAGGTTTTTGCTAATATTTTATTGAATTTACTTTATTACCTTATGATATTAAATTTGCACAAGATGTAGGCGGAAAACGAGTGGGCCGGGGGTGGCGGGAGGGCACGTGGGCGCGGGGTGCGAGCCGGCCGGGGGTGGCGCGGGGCGAGTGCGGGACGGGGCGGGGCGCCCGGCTCCAAGGTCGCAGAGTCACAGCCGGGCAAGGTCGGCGTGCCCGCGCGTGCCCGCTCCCGCACCCGCCCCGCACCGCCCGCACTTCACACCCGATCACTCCCTAGATTTGCGTGGGACGTGACCTTTATCCACGCTCTGGAACAATAATTGTATATTACGTACATAAATACTTAATGTTTTAGGCTTACATAACAGTTACACTAGACATGAAGACAGGTATTTATTTGATTGATTGATTAGAAACATTATTATATAAGTAAATGGTATCTCTTATATGAGTGGTTAGAAAAATTTAAAGTCATACAATGTAATTTTTACATTTGTTCTTTTTATTTATCACTAGTTGAATCCGACATGCAACGCCAAAATATAAATAATGACAAAATTAAAATTATCAAAATAAATCAAAGCTATTGGTTAAAAAACATGTTTTACGGCACAAACCTTTTCTGGCTCCAGCAGAATACCTTTACAGTGTCAGTGTCAAGTTCTGTTTGACAAACATACAGAAATATTAAAGTTTATTGATAAAAGAAAAGAAGATAAAAATAAAGAAAAGATAAATGACACAATGTGTTTTTCCACTCTTGTGGAAACGGGCGCGGAAGCTGTGGGAAGAAGCGATCGATAAGAGGACCTTTAGGACGCGCGCCGGGCACCTGCTTCTGACCTTTTGACCTTTTTATAGTTTATTTTTAATATAAAAAATGATTATCCACATGGAAAGTTTATATAACGGAATGTTAATATAACGGAAAATACATACCCAAAGTGAGTTTTGAAGACACCAGACATAGCAATATAACATGTTGATGACGTAGGTACTAAAAAAGGCGATTAATAGATATAATAACCCATATCCAACATATACATACTTATTTATATGCAAAAATTAATTGTAATTACATAATATTTTTTGTTTAAAACATATATTAAAATGAAATATTATTAAAGTCGGAAAAATAACTAGTCAGTAAGTAGGTATTTAAAAATAATATCTCCATTATAATCTTAGTTGTATAATCTGCGATTAGAAGTAAAGGTATTTACATATTTCCGCGTTCCCTTAGCGAAGAGCAGAGAGGTGGCGTAGGATTAACCCCCTTTGACCTTATCCGACCTTTCTTCTCTTACCTAAAGCTTTTTATTAAAACTTAAAACAGTACATTTAACTTGGTGATATTAAGCCTTCAGATTACGTTGATCAGATGAGGATTTCAAAAACTTTTAACTTTTACAAGTGTACCTGTATATTGTTTTGGTTAAAAACCGAAACGACTAAAGCGATTTTGATCGGAACTTTAATGGAAAATAGATTATGTATCCGGTTGTGACATAGACATTTTTTTTCTTTTTTTTAAATATCATGCTGCCAATGTTGCAGGTGACAAGTAGTTAAATAAAACGAATATAAATTATTGTAACTACAACGGCAATTTTTAACTTCAATAATATTAATAGAACAATATATGAAAGCTTATATTTTACGTTATAAATTAAACACGGTAATTAATATGGCGAAACCAGTGTTGATCTATATTCATAGACAAATAAACTAATAAACAAAATCTTGTGTCTACTACAATTTTTTTACATGTTAAGACAGTGACCTTGATGTCAGGTATTTGTGAGCAAGAATTTAGGTCAGCTGGGGAGGATCACACAGAATATACTATGAAAATGAGGACACTCGAAGGTTTATATCAGATTCATAAAACATGTACTTATTTTTGTTTAATTACGTTTTCTATTACCCGATGCAAACGTGAATTTGTCCACAGAGAGGCAGACAATTTTTTTCATCAGTTTTGGAAAAAAGAGGTAATTTTTGTACAGGGGCGTATTTTAAATTAAAACACGCTAATCTTAATGTTACTAATAATATAAATGCAAAAGTTTAGCTGAATCGATTATTGTTACTTGCCTTCAAAACGGCTAAACAGATCATGCTGAAATTTAGCATAGGCTGGAAGAATACCCTATGTGTTGTATGTATAATATTATAATTTTTTAATTTTTATTTTATTAAGTTTTTTTTATTCCACATGTACGTAGTTGCGAGCTACTTCTAGATCTGAATAAGAACTATGCTAAAAAGAGTACATTCGAAGTCTCATAAAGTCCCATTCTCAGTGTTCTTAAGGGTTAAGACAAGCTCCTTTGTTTCGAAGATTCCTGATACATAAAAATTATACGCTCGTCTTGTTTTAGATACTGCCACAAATATTAATATCAACATACGTATAATATAATAATTATTATAAATTTTTATTGAAGAGAAATCCAAACACGAAAATTTACTCAACTTAAATCAAAGAATCTAAATTGTAGATAAGGGAATAGAATCGGGTGTTCTGACAGGGCCGACTTTTGTCGGTTGCATAACTTAATGTTGTGAGAGGCTGTGAAGCTGAGCGGTCGGGAGTGTTCTGGAGCGAGGGTGCGCGAGGTGTGGGGCGGCGGGCGGGAGGGGTGTCGAGGTCGCGGCAAGGTCGCATGGCAGCTACATCCAGTCGTACCATCCCTAGACCGCCGTGCCGCGCCGAGGCAAACATTCAATCTTATCACATACAGCATACGTGTCAACGAATGTTTTAAACACTATCTTATATTACGGAAAAAAGAGTAGTTATTTAAAACCATTATCACGTCTTTATCTTATTCTTGTGTAATGTTTGCAAACTCAAGGTTGTTCCACGTCTGTAGGTATACGAAACGATTCGAGCTCTCTGTATTTTGTGTGACTTGTGTTAGATATAAAAAAATCAACATTATATTTCCTTATTTTATTTCCTAGAACATGAGTTATCTAACACAATCATGTCCCTCAGGTTACGATAGGTTTCATTTATTAGTAGAAGTATGGGGGATAGTTATTGTGTTTTAGCTTCATCAGATATTTAATACCAACAAAATTCTATAGAACTTGGAAATATGAATGTGATATAAATCGTAACATTTTTGTCTTGGGTTGTTGGTCTTTTTTTGTTTCCTTGCACATGGAGAGTTTAAATTCTTAATTGTAAAATTATAATTTGTGAACTACAGATATCATTACGATAGTTTAATTATGTCAAAAGAAATAGTGTAGAAAAGTAAAACTTTGGTATAGAATTAAACAACTAATGCACTATCACGGTCTAACAAATCAATAACGAACCTGTGACCCGTAACACAGGCGGTTCGCCTCGCAGTCGACTGGTGGTGCACACTGGTTGGGGCTTGTGCCAAAGGGCTGGCGGGTGGCATGACCTTGCCGGCCGACATTACCGAACATGTAGGTCAGTGAGACCATTCGCCCTTGACCTACGATAAAGGCGCGCCCTTAGTGTGCCCCGACTCCCCTTTACAATAGTTACTGTTTCACAAGACCAACAAGAAAGGTCGTTCTTGAAGAACATACGATACGTTAACTACAATGCTTATTCAACTCATATCACGTATAACCCCGGTATCTGTAATACGATAATTCTTAAAATATCACACGTCGATCAGTGGGCTCACTTCAAACGTGTAAGTAAATATATTGCAATGACGTAGTTACAAATGTATTGATATTTGATAACCTCAATGACATTGTGGCGCCGTGAAAATTGTTCAATTGTTGTCGACAGCAGTTTGTTAAGAGAAATTCTAGAAAATTGCAATTGGCACTCGCGTAATGATTCAACGAGTGTGTCAGAAATAAATCAACGTGAAACTAACTCGTAAACAAGTGATGCGCCATATTACGGATATTATGGCGCAACAACTGAAATATGAATAGAAGTAGCGCTTGTCTTTACCATAACCTCAACCATTAACATATCACACGTGGCAGTGAAACAGGAAGAGATGACGCAACAAACTTTGCGATTTTAAAATAGCGACTCGACTTTACCATGACCTTGCGCACAAATACTATTATCGACATCGCTGCTACACCTCGTACAAAGGAAAATCGCATGTTTTCACGAATTTCGCACAGAACATCGTGTTTTCGCGAATTATTCCGGGATGCGGAGATAGAGGCGAGTAACGGGTTGGCTGCGATTATTCAGATATCGCGGGAGCAGATCGCGAGTGCGCGTGTTCGTGTGTGCGTGCGCTGCGCGTGTGTGTTGCCGTGACATTGAACTTCACTCTTCACGCGGCGGCGCACGAGTTGCGTAACCGCTCGTCGAGATACAGATAAAACAAACTATACGCACGCGTCCCAGCGCCGTCTGTTCTCATTACATTTTATTGCAAAAAAAACTAAAATACTACAAATATAAGTATTAAGTATTGTTCAATTATTTCCATTAACAAGTTATTTGTAATATTTTTAAATAGATATGTACGGGAGATTAAACATTTGTTACTATGGTGATACTAAGTAAAATAGTAATATTAAAAAAAAAGAATATGTAATCAATACGGAAGGAATAAAGGCAGGGAAGTGATAGGACATTGGTCAGCGTTGGCTGTACACGCGGTACGAATCAAGTTTACTGATTTGGACAATGACATTGACATTGATCGCCGGTTGCCGGCTGCTGGCGACTGCGCGACTCGACGCGACGCTATCGGCCGGCTTTATATTTTAATGCTGTATCCAGCCCACTTATAGATTCGGAGACATAATTAAAAACATCACGAATCTAATAAGAATTCTAGAACATCTGTATTGAAATGAATTATATTCAAATTCAACAACAATCGATGTTTTCAGAATGAAAACTATGCAATTTTTTATTTCTTTTTTCAATGAAGATAAGTTTATATTCAAAAAATATCATCTTTTCTGTTAACATATTGAAACAATTCTTTTTTTCTTTGTTTTAATACATTGGTATGTATAACAACTCAGACATTAGTTTATTACATACTATATGTATATCACCTTGAAGAATAATCAGGAACAAACAATGAGTACATAGTTAATAAAACTTTTATACATACTAGTACATAAGTCGTTAC